ATTTCCTCGTATACGTTAAATACCTCGTACGCAATCTATTGCCATGTTTAATCTTGTGTTGGTATTCTGTGCTATCTAGTTGCAACATTTGTGTTATTGTTTCTTGTTCCAATTTATGTTATTTATTTCTTTCACAAACAAATGGAAACGAAGAATTTTTCCTTTATTTTTTCGTTAATTATTGGCAGTACATTGCGTAGTTTATTCTATCTATTTCTTTCATCTGTATCGCTGACAGTAATCAACCCAAATATATTACGACATTCTGTCGACAATCATTCGACAATCATTCTGTCCATTTGTTAATGCTTGACAGTTTGTTATTTGTTCCTCGAGTTCCTAGTCTTGTACAAATAATATCTGCTTAAATAAATATCACGTAGTTTGTTCAATTTATTTCTTTCGTTCAAAGTGCTGAAAGTAGATAATCAGCGCAAATATATATTTGCATATGCCCGCGAGACCTAGGTATCATCTGAATCATTTTGAATTTGTCAATGAATGAGATTTTGCTATCTATTCGACGAATCCACATCCACTGAACATCCCATAAGTACCAATTTAAACGTGGAACCTAAAGTCGTAAGCGCATAGATCATGTTTCATTTAGATATGTAGCCTCGCGATTTTCATTCGTGACGAATTGCAGGGCTGATAGGGATGTTTGCGTCAGTAGGATCGAGCCTGGTGTTGATTTTAGGGCTATCAGACATCGTCTAAAGTCAGACGCGTGCGATTGGACCAAATGCTATAAGTGGAACATGGGAACAGTCCGGATTTCTGGTCCACGATCACGTCGCGCACGTCGGGCTCGTCAACGAATAGATAACGAAGGAGAATGAGCTAGTTGAGGCGGTTTGATACATCGGCGACATCGCCGCAACATTCATCTGCATAATTCATTCTTATCAGTACGATTCCCTCAAGCAGGGATTCTCAACCATCGACCAACAATTCCTATTGAAAAATTAACCAAACTTTCATATTCATTTACTAAGCTCGAAAGATTATCGCGGGGGGAAGTTAAACAGGAAATTTCATTGAATTTTATTTGCTGACAAAACTAAGGATTCGATCTGTTGAACCTAAAATCGATATCTATGTGTAACAGGAAACAGTGTTCGCTTATCCTGTTCGATTCTAGAGTAATAAGCGCGGACCGGAATAAGAGGCGAACGTTCCAGTTTAGCGAGGCCTCTTTCGGTAGAATGCCGGCGTTGTTAACATCGTTAAACTCGGCTGAGTCTTGGTGGACAGGCAAGCTGGTCAAAGCGACGCCTTTGACGCGATGGCACGATATATTAAGAGTGGTTCACAGGTCGCGGGATTCGCGTTCTCCGCACGTAAGAATAAGACGCCCACCGTATTTACCCGCTCTGAATTCCTGAGTCGCGGTTCGCCCCCTCGCGAATTGTTGCGCAGCGCAAACCCAAACTCTTAACTCTTAAGCTCGCATGACTCGCCCGCCCGCCAATCTATAGGGTGTCCTTTAATCTCTATCTTGTCAAAATTTAAAGATCCTCGACGTATTATAGCTTAAGGAGAAACTAGGAAATTGTTCTCTTAAAAATATATACATTTCTGACAAAAGTGTCAAGTAATAGGTGTTCTTAAAATGATCCAATGATTCTTCTAAGTACGTCTCTGTAACGTAGAAAATTAATGAAATGACATTTTATAGCTGCGTGTTTGTATCTTTTATTTGGTCGGATGTTCATTATGATCGCTGAAAATTGATGTCCAGTTGTGACAAGATTTTTATTTTCCTTTCTACTTTAGGATGAATGGCGTCGTTCCGGCAGGCCGAAGATAAATCGAGATACTTCAAGAACACCCCGTACCTACACAGATGTTTAAGAGCTAAGCAACTACTCAGAGCGAGTGAGTTGATGCGAGCCGCGTATCACGAGAAGGAAGTTCAATTTAACCCAATAAAGGACAATCAGAGGCCGACGGCGACCAGAGACGAATACCTACTACTCCTCTGATGGCTAAACGGATCGACCGAGGGACTTCGCCTTCAGGTCTTTTCGGCTCGGAAGATGGAAAACTCGTCGACGTGTTCAGACATCGTACCTACCAACGTCTTATCGCAGACATCCTTTCTGTTAGGTTCGTGCATATGAAATATCTCTTTTCCGATGTGGTACTGTTATCAGTGTTTTATTTTATCGTTAATTATCGAATATAATAAAGAAGCAGCAATTTGCTATAAATCATATTATTTAATCCTGAGTGGGTACTATGCCATAAAGAAAAAAAAAAAAAAATTGATACGTCATTATTGGCTGTCAGGAGTAACTAGAGTATTCGTATGATTTCCTTACGTGAGTTTCATTTTGGAAAAGGTACCCTGAAAGCACTTGAAACAAGTTGAAGATACTCTGTGTCCCAATGAAACAGTTTTCTAATTGATAATAAATTATTCTATAGAAGAAATCGTAACAGATCTATTTCAAGAATCGTCGAATTTAAAAATCGGTAATTTTTATAAATCTGAAATAATGTACGTCGTATATGCATTAAATATACAAAAAAGAACATATCCACTAACTTAATGTTATTCAATTAATTTATTGATTCGAACAATAGCATGATATATTTCTTCAAATAACGTTGCACGACTGATCAACAGTTTGTTTACCGTTTAATACCACAGATCCATCTGTTGTCGATATCCAGGCTACGTTTTCCTTTTATACAACTAGAATAGTTCGCCAGAGGAGTTTTCGATTGGCAAATGGGTATTACGGGCTTAGGGAGTTAGCGAAAATGGAAAAGGCCAATTCAGTTCATTCTTCGGGTTCGCCGCTCCGCGAACGACAAGGAGCATCTAGTTCACGATCCAATGGACCGTGAAGTCTGTGACATGGACCAAGTGGAATTTTCGGTCAGTGTGTTTCTTACAAAAGGCCGCAAAAAGCCCGCAAAAAGGCTGCAACGATCCGCTGTGAGAATGGAAAGGGAACAGAATGGCTCAACGACGGGATTTGAAGCGTTCAATGATGCTGATTCGTGATCGCTGATCGGGAACATCGATTTTGACAGGGTAGGAAAGTGGTAAACAAAGCGACAGATGATTTACAATTTCGTACAGTTTCTTAAAGTTTTATTAATATTAATAATAATTGAAGGTAAGCTGCAGTTTCTTTATTTGCAGAATTTATTATATTTTAAGTTACAAATAGTACATAGGTTTCTTAACACATTCACTGCTACTAGTGCGTGTGGTGTACCGATTAAATACAGGCAAATTATCGCTCAAAATAAAGAAATTTCTGATAGAGCGAAGAATATAACTGTAGGGACAGGTGAGTGTGTTTCAGTAACAGGAAGTGTGTCAGAGGGGTAACATTTATTATATATCTTTTACTTATACCATTAGAAACAGAAGAGACTCTTATTTATATACATAGAAGCTTGCATATTCTTTCTTCTAAAGGGACTTAAGCTTCTAATTATATTTTATATTACATTTGTAATTTAATATCTCACAATTCTTTATCATTATTCGAATTTCATTCTTATTTTCAACCCTTAACTATACATCTCCGTATCTTTACGCTTAGCCTTTTAGATTATCTAACATTTTATTTACTAAATCGTATGTCATAAGAGTTAATCCAATATATCTATTAGATAGTTTAAGGTTTCTTACAACTGCTCGAACTTCTTCGTCTCTAGTTAACGCTTTCACAATCCTCGAACTGGCACGGTCTAGTCTATAATATCTCGCGACAATATTGCCTAACCCCCTGAAACATGGGGTGACACTCGCAGCGAGACGCAAATTAATTATCATGCATTGATAACAACGTGTTACAAGAACAGACAATCGGGGACCAACGGTGTCTCCAAAATCTCACGGGGTTCATTCACGGCGTCGTGGCAAGAGCGAGGGCTATCTATGAAATTAGCGGGGGTTCGGCTTTAACCCTCCCTCCCCATGGATGGATAAGGGGGGTTGAGCATTAGCGATTATACGCACCGCGGAGTCCATACATCGGGTGTCTCCGTGTGGAACTAAACAGACAAAATGGCCACACTACGGCTCACCCTCGATTCCGTTTTCCTTTTACGAGCCACAGTGGCCGTCTCTTTTCATCCTTTCTCCCTTCCTACGAGTTTCTCCTTTTTACCTACAAGGCATTACCACGACAAGGAAGAGGCGAGTCACGAGATTTTCGAAAGTGCTCTCTCGCCTCTTTTCCTATCTCTGTATGCAGTCGCGTCTGTGGAAAGCGTACTGCACGCTCCATCAACGTGTGGTATTTCTCCTCTGTTGCATTTTACATCTCGATATCGTCGTAAGATCTATCGAAAGGCGCATTATTTGCATTTTACTGATGTGAATGGAATAGTAGCGGGAGATGGATGATTAAATTACCCGGAGAGGGGTTGCTTTTTTTCCTGAGATTATCTCGACCGATTATCTACTGCAATAATGTTCAATAACGTGATATTACTTGGGCAAAGTCGAGAGCTGTGTGCAATGTTTTTATCAGTTTTATGCGATTCAAAGATTGCCAAGTGTCGAAGGAAATCCGGTAATGAAATTAGAAAAGAAAAACTTCTTACCTTGGTTCTTCTAATCTGGTTGTTGAAACGATTTACAAAGTTTACAGTCGCGTACAAGACTCGTGAAGTCGACATAGTGTCTTTTCTAGTGGATTTCCTAGTTGACTGCTTTCCAAATATTAAAGATTATAACGTAAAACGTATTCGATAAGAACATTAGAAAACGGAACTTTACCTCAATTTTATTGATTCATTTGATTGATCGCAAAATAGATGCTAGTAATCTATTCCCTATCTTTCTTTTATTCTTACATTTATTTTTACAAAATCAGCGTTTGAGCGAAAGGCGTGCCCATAAACACGAAGCAGATACATGAAAATATTCTAAAACGTGTACACATTTACAGTCCATAAAATATTAGGTACGTAAATTAATTCTTACATCTGAAACGAAACTGATTTAATCCATGCAAACAGGAAACATCAGACTTCAAATCAATTCTTATATAGTTATACACAAATGATAAATATTTGAAATTAAAACACAAATGTTTAAACGCGAGCTCTTTTGTTCGTAGCTCTCTTCCATCGCGTCTTCGCTTCGTTGCTCTCGCAAAATCACGTTTCAAAGGAGCGACGGGTCCATCAAAATGGGGACATATGTTGGTCGACGGTCCAGAAGAATGTCCCGAATGGGCCCTTGTCACGGCGTGTTGCGGTATGCATCGACAAACGAAAGCAGCTTCCCGCGGCGGCTAGGATCGGTGTCATCCCCTTAAGTGGGGACAATGGGGCCAAATCCGATTTTCGAAATGATCGCGTTAAACGTGCCCAGGGATTTACGGAGGGCGGATGCGCTTCTCAATAGCCGATGTTTACCGGTCCCAATGGAAAGGGATTACTCCGTGCATATCCATTGCACGGGGAAGAGTGTGCTCCGACGAACTCCCGCGGCGCCAAAGAGGGGATGCTCGAAAGTCCGCGCTGCAGGGTGCATGAGGCGTGATCTTGTGCAGTTCTTGGGATACCTTTTCCATCGAGCTGCAATTTCAACATACATAATAAAATTAGAGCAACCACTGATTATCTCAGATGAATTTTTCTTCTAAAATAATCCTGTCGTGGCGGAGGTTTTAAGAATTCTGTCATCGTTGCGGTATATATTGAACGATATACAGGGATTTTTATTTATACTCTGGGCTCAATTTTTGAATTAAATTTACAAAGATAGGGAGAATGTTTACTTTTGTTAATGTAGATGGAATTTATAATTGTCAAAAAAAAATACAAATATTTATTCGTTATGGGCTGATTGTCATACCACTCATTTCGATTGGAAGGTAAGAAACGAACAGTTATATGAATCAATACAATAGTTAAATAAACAGCGATCAGTTGAGTAAACTAATGCAATTTCTTCATTGGATGCGTGGTTTGTAATATTCATCGCAAATATCGAGGTATATATTGAATTGCATCTATATCTGTGTAATGAATTATATGAAAGTTATTTTTGGGTTATTTTTGGAAATGTTTATGAAAAGAATTGTACGTCTATCTGTTAAATTAACCACGACCTTCGCGATTTTAAAAAGTTATTTGATATTTAATATACAGATACTTGACGATATTTTGAGATCTTTCTTCCAGTAATGGAAGAAGTTCACTCATTCCGTAATATTAGAATCTTCAAGTAGCAATACAAAACAAGATAATAATCGTAACATGTATTATTTTTGTAAAGCAAATATAAATATAAGAACTATGCTACAGTTACTTAAATTAAAAATTCCGCTTCGTTTTATGTCGTAGTTGAAGGAAAGGTAAAAATCGAGCGAATTCCCGATTAGCATCCCGAGCAGTTCTTTGAAACAACAAGAAATACTACTTAGATGAGAAAGAATAAAAGTTCTCTAAATTCGTATAGAATCCCGCGATATTTTACACTGTCGATAATGTTGGACGATTAACCGATTCCCTAACCACCCTTTCGTCGTTCGAGTTCGAGAGAATATCGACCCAGCTCGCACTGGATGTCAGGAAGTTCATTCAGAAATTAAGACAACCAGCGTACGGCCTTTGCCGCGGCGACTTTAATTGCGGCTAATTGTTACGAAGGTCGGAAGCGGCCTGTAAAGACGCAAACCCACGCAATTGATGGTCACACCACGCGATAATACTGGGTGATCGAATAGTAACGAGTTACCGCGAGTCGCGTCTTGATTACTAGGTACGTAAAACGAGTTCGTATTTAAAAGTGATCCGACTGTATCGGCGATTCGTAAGTGTTATTTTCATCCTTGAACGTGGGTCCCGTACCATAATTCTCTATCGGACAACGAAACGTGTAAAAGAAGGAATATCGTTCGTAAACACGTCGAAAATATCAATCAACGATAATTTACGTCTCTGGTAAAGCACGCCGAGTCTTTGTAATTACTTCATCGGGTTCTGGAATTCTAATCCATCATTGTCAGCCAGTTTGTCCTCTTAGTCCATGCTCGATACACTAAGGAAATCGATTATAATAAAAGTGCCCACGGGTAAACGCATCAACACACAGATTCATATGTATATGTATAGTTAATGTTCGGAGTAACAACGCGCAGTCTATGGAAAAGAGAAAAAAAGGATGGTAGTTGCGTAAGAGATGAAATCACAGGAGACGGTTTTCCCGAGAACGAGCGGATTTTTCTCAAGAATCTAACAAGGACACGGTTACTTAACGCCTCATCGATCGACTTTTCCATGCTAGTTCTACACGTGGTCGAATAAGACGAACGAGTGCAGGAAATTTCGTGACCATTTTTCATTTGGTCAGACAGGGGAGAGGGTAGGGACAGGCAAAGAAACGAATGGCAGGCACGAGTATGAGAAGGAATGCGAAGGGAAAAATTCTAGCGTGCATTCTGCTGCACACATCGTACGTATTCGTTCGTCTTCTTTTACTCTCACCTCTATCCCACGTTACCGAAGGAACTCGCGAGGTCTTTCAAGGTTGCTGCTTGGCTTTTCGTGCCAGCCACGCAGACGCAATTTGCCTTTCGGCCATTGTCATTTCTGCACGATACGCTCGTACATGGCATCTCGTGCGTCTGTATCACCGCGTTTCCTTCTTTTCTTCAGCTCGGCCAGTGGATTCTGACTTTTAGGAATGTTGTTCGACTGTTGTCGATATTCTTGTACGTCCGCCAGCGACGTAAATTTAACCCTACCGTGCTCGACTTTCATTTCAGTATTTTAACAAGTTAAATCTCCTGTTTCGCAAAACTAGTCTGAATTTCGGTGCATCGTATCTTATCTACAAATAGAGCAGAACAAATTTTCTATTGTTATTGTATTCGTTTTACAAAAGAAACTTAGCGCGGAGCTTGGAATAATTCATCTTTCACACATCGTACGTTATTTGGGCTTGCTCAGGGATCAAATAAATAACATTTATTCTCATAAGCAAATAACCATAATAAGTTCAATGAAAACACTGTTACGAGAGAAGTACAATAATACAAATTCTCTTTTCCTTTAGCGCTGTTCTGTCAGTGTTAGTAAAGAATGTCAATTCGTGGTATGTTAAGTAACATTGTTACTTCTGTCAAGGAGATAAAAAATCATTTTCCTCGTTTCCACGGTTAATTTCATTCAGGGAATATATACGATTCCGTTTAATGGATTATTTTCTTTGAACTTCCAATTCCATTATGTTTCCTCTGTCACAAACTCGAACTTCATTTTACACTTGTAATTCTGATGAAATCATAAAGGACAACACAAAAACGTTCATTGAGAAAATGATGGAAGAAGGAAATCGAGGAAACCGAAAGTGTTCCATTCGATACCCATTGATATAGTAGTTTATTCGAATACCTTTTCTAGAGTCTTTCTATCGAAAATGCTTTGCAACAACGCCAATCAACGGTCGCCCTAACGACGAGCATTTAGTTGCACGGTCACGAAGGTGATTCCGTGGAATCTCGGCTAACTGATAACCAACCTGGCAAGAGCAAAATGCGTGGCGCGATGTCAGGCAACGAGGAAGGGAAGTAGAGAAGAAGATTCGCCGTGTTATTAAACTGGTCGATCATCTAATTACGCTCGACTTGCGGTCGTCCTCGTTAGATCGCGATACGAAATAACGGAAAGCAAACTGACGAGACAATCACCCTCTTGAACTTCTCGACTGTGTACGTCTTGCAACAAGAAAACCATAGAGAAAGCAAAGATGCAATCGCTGGAAATGAAGAGAGGGATATAAAGTAGTCGAAGAGGAATAGTTGAAACCGGACGAGTTTCACGATTCTCGTTCGCATTTAGAGCGAGCAAAGGCAAGAATTGTAACATAACAGGCTGGGGCAAATTTTATTTGAAACAAGAACAAAAAGATAGCTGTTTGATATTAATGAATCGTTCCAAAATCGTCTAAAACAGAATCGATGAAAGTAAAACGTCTTCAAATAATTTTCTATTTTAGTCAATTTTTTTCAAATTTAATATTAATTTGAGTGTTAAACAGCGTATTGTGTATACATTTACGCCATAAGCAATATAGTTAAAACTATTTTCATTTCGATCACCTTTGAGTAATATTTGTCAAAATATGTGTACATCTAGGACAGTCGATAATATTGAAACAACAGAATTAAAAACTATTTGAATTATCGCTTCAAGAAACACATTACACTTCGAAAGAAAATTCCAAACAAAGTTATTTCGTTCTATAACTAAGTAATGGGAAATTTAATCGTTCATTTTTCAAACATTTTACTCGAACAACGTCCAAGTCTGGAATATTTATAATGAGAATGACCAATAAGATAACGTGGATGGATGGTGCAGCAGGCGCGACTCCAGCTTGCGCTCAGGTATAAGCTGATGGGATTCTGGGATTCATTAGCGTAATTAACGGATCCTCATTAAGCGTATTATGGTATGAACGGATCGTCGTTACTAGCAGAGTCATCGAGTTTGCTTTCTGCAAACGGAACCACGCATCAATTACATTCGAGTCGCGTGCGCTACTCTCGTTTTCGCTGTGTGCTGTTTTACGTTTGTCCTTCCCCATTAGCTTGGATCCTGTGAAAAGAAGCTTGCGCGCTGTTTTGTAGCAATTAACCCTTTCGAGATATGCCGAATTTAATGCCTCCGCGTGTTCCTACCACTTTAATGAATTTCCGACAACTGAATATTAAACATTGTCCCGTCTTCGGTCGCGTTCCTCGTATTTCGAGAAACACGCTGCCACGTTCCCGGTATTTATTGGGATAATGAAATAAGAGGAATCATCCGTGGGATCGTTTTTTATTTTGATAAGGTAATAACCGCGAGCTTCGTTCCCTTGTTTGGTCGAGCATGTCGAAATGAGCTCGACAAAACACGCGTAATGGCGCTCGTGTGTGACGGGAATTTTAATTACGAGCGTGACCAGTATTTGATACACTTTCAGTATATGTATACAAGTATTTTTGTACGCTAGATACTAATTGTAGAAAAAGAAATTGGCTACATTCTTCTATTTTTAATTATATCCAATGTAATTCCTTTTTGTTTAATTTTTTTTAATTAATGCTTCATTCGATACTACGCATTAATTTTGTTTGCTTCGATAGATTTTTAATGCCATAATTTTCCGGCGTAATGAAATTCGGAACTCATCTACTTCTTTAAATTATTAGATTCCATAGAATCACGTAATGATTCCAAACATCCGATGAATAACCACTTACATTTTTTGCTTCATATTCCAAAAACGATGTAGAAACAAACTTTAACCAACATTAGACACGAGGGCACGACAAATAAAAAAACAACAGTATAACTATTCCTATAAACTATAGAAGATTTTGCAATAAATGGGAAACATCCCCAAATAGAAGCCACGAAGGAGGATGAATTTCGTCAAATTCTTTTGTCATAGCACATTAATAAGCTCAAAGCCGCGCTAATCTCCTTGCCCTCCAAATTCGAAAATAACAGCTTGTGAAATAAAACGCGCGATGCGTGTGCCGTAACACAAAGGTCGAAGGGCGCGGCGTAGAAGAGGGTTGACGCGTGCCACCCGAACCCTGAAATCGGAGTCGATGATAGGTTAAAACGGTGATCCGCCGCCGTATACTTCCGACAGTTTTGTTATCATGGTGGTACAAGGGAGATGCTCGTACGGCCTCTGGACATACGAACGTTAATGCCCGATTCACTGATAGTATCGGTGTTTATACAACACGTTTTACGTCCAGGCAGCCTGACGGTATTATCTTGCATAGTCTTATAGGCTTGACCGGGTGTATCGAATGTAAACCATTTGTACGAAGTTTCAAAGGATGTCGCGAGATAGGGGTACGAGGCAACACGTGTAACGTATACTTGTTATAAAACTCTTGGATACCAGATGTTGGTGACGGTATGTTGCAGACGTGTTTTTATTGATTCTGGTAATGAATCTTATTTGTAAAGATATCGACACCTTTTGAACAGGTATTTCGAAGGGAAGATGATGGTATTCGATCCTGTTAACTTTCTGTATTTTTAAAACTAGTAGTCTACAAATATATTTTCTAGAATAAATATAGTAGGAACGATTGATTATAATTGTGTCTCAATATAAACTGAACGTTTGTTTTAATGAAAATACATTGTTTACATTCGAAACCCGATATCTATCAGTTTGATGTGTACGATAGCCAGGTGTTTTCATTGAAATCAGATAAGTTGGAAAATAAAAGACGATAGAATTATTTTAACACTAGAACTACCTATGGCTATAAGATACCTGTATACGTATAAAACTTATATGGCTCGTAGAAATCAAAATGAAGGATACTCGAAGAATCGTTCAACGCAACGAAGGCCCTTGTTCCTAAATTTTAATAAAAATTACTCGATTCTCCAAAATACACCGTGATAGGTCTATAAAATTTCTATTGAAAGATACGAATGAATCATTTGGATTAAGAGTCGAGTTAAAGAAAAACGTTCATAGACGTTGGAGGAAAAAAGTTGAAAACATTTCTGATAGGCGTGGCGCGAGAGAGGGTGTCGCCAGGAATATTTTAGAAATTAATGTCAATACGAACGACGATATCCAATTACACCGGAAGCACCCGGTACAAGAGGCCGACTTACAGTCGGGGGTTGCAGGCGAAACCGAAAGAAAGAGAAAGGACAGAAAGAGAAAGGAGGGAGGAATGTCAGGGTGAAAAAAACTTACTGTGGGGGGTGGAGGAGGGGGGAGTGAGCACCAAGTCCTCCCACATTGTAAAGTACCCCTGCATTCTAACACCGGTCGGCTTTTTCATCGCGCACGCTTTTTTTTTTCTCTTTTTTAACCCTCCTCTCGATCGCGATTGTGTCCGAGACACCGGGGGCGTGAACTCGCCGATGCCGGCACTGGCCTCGAGGCGTTTTTCGCATTTACAAGCGCCCCGAAGAACCGTTGGTGCTCGCGAATAGTCCAGCTGGCGACTCGCTCAAGGAGATTTGTGAGTTTGCGTTTCAACAGGCTATGTACGTGCGTTTTACGCGCGGATACGGTTGAATATTTCGTACTTAATGGAAGAACATGAGTTTTGCTCGTAAAGGTAGCTGACAATTTCTGTGAGGATGCGCACATAAAAAGGAAAGCGACATTAAATATTCTGACGGGTTTTTGTATCTTCTATTTCTCATTTTCTTTATATATATAAGAATAAGGAAAGATAAAAAAGATAAGAATAAAAAAGAAGTATAATCATGCATGATACTTTAATTACGTTGCTCAGCGCCATTTATTACATACGCTTTTCAGTTCTATTTCTTGAATACATCTTTCACTCCTATTTCTTATCTCTGCTTATAATTCCGCTTATCAAACCTATTTATTATTTCCGTTTATCAAACCTGTGGTTTAATTTATTTTTTTACTGTTGTTTTTCAACACCGGTTTTTTGTTTCTGTTATCTCAACTTTATACAGCTGTTTGTTTTTAATTGCATTTAATTACTGTTTTATAATCCTCTATTAATACCTATAACATTTTATAAGGAATGACGAAGCTTTTTTACAGATTAAAGTTCGAAATTAAACACGTGATATCTTTACTTGCGAGGTTCTGCTTTATTTTGCTCATTCTATCCGTTAGAACATATTGATTGAGATAATAGCTTAAATGAAATATTATTTTGGACTAGATGATTCTCCGCATGAAATAATAGACCTCGCCGATGATTTCTTCGATTGTGCGACAGCAATTGCTCGCTAAAAAATAATAAAGGAGACAGAATTACACATAATTGTCTTATCCGATGTTTCCTTCCTTTGATTTGATTCACAAAAAAAAAAAAGTGCGGCGACTTGCCTAACTTTCTCGATCAATTATTCAATGCATAATCGTGCGTTCGCTTTCCTTTCCTTTTTCCTTTGAACCCACGTACGATTTTCAATCGTCCAACCTTCGATAGCTCTAGCTGGAGCAAGAGAGACTCTTAGGGTGCTTCTTTGAAGTCTATAGAACAACTCAAACCAATGTGTTCACTTTACGACTTCAAACCTTTCGAATTTGTTCGTGGAATCGGCAATCTACGACCACAATATGTACTCGTAACGTTCATTGTTATGGATATTATTTATTTTCTCGTTTATATTTAGACGCTTCATCAAGGACGAAGCAACCGGTAAATTGTAATACAAAAACAAGTTAATTGTCATTTTAGAAAAATTCTAACAATTCTTTTACACACCGTTACGATAAAAAGAGATCTCAAGAAAATATGAATAAGAAATTATACGGATGGCGCAAATGTCCAAGAACAAGGAAATTTCAAGACCACCTCGAGAACGTACGGCACGTTCTCCTCACGGTTGAATAATACATGAAATGTTGCCTTTCTTAACGTCGTTCGCGGTCGTGCGACAAAAGAAGTATCGACAAAAGAGTGGCCCTCGGTATATAGACTCATACGTTCAAGCCTCTTGAAACATGCATGAAAAACAAACAGATGCATCCGTCAATCTGACACTGCTAATTTATATATCGCTCGATTCCCTACGATCCTATAAAAGGGTTAAATTGGAACAGGAGAGTAAGTGGAACGATGAGAGGAAATGAAGGAAATTTTGGCTCTTAGCTCATCGAGCAGCCGATAATTCTGTCCCTGTTCGTCGACGAGATAAGGATCTAAGATTACCGCGGTCCTGTTAACGTCAGATTAGTGTCACCAGCCCTTTTCTAAAGTGACCCCACTCGACGAGAGTGGGTCAGAGGGTCGGACGCGCGCCCGCTGTCCAATGGCTTTTAAATTCACTCGGCTATACGACTACCGTCCCGCTGGATAAACGTTCCTTCAAATCTGTTTATTTTTGCGTGGCTTTACTCGACAGGTAGCTCCTCCGAGTCTACCTTTTCCCGAAGCAGCGTGCCTTTAAAAGAGGACTCAGGAAGCCATCCTTTTGGTCTCCTCATCCTAATCCCCTTAACCCTTCTTAACGTCCCGGAATAAAGGAAGACGTAGACAGATCGGTTCAGCGCACTTGACTTTTTTTGGAAGGAACCTGCGAACGTGTTTCTGCACTTCCATCTGACTTACGTACGAATTTCTGGGGTGGATTTTTGATTTGGAGAATTTAGCTTTTTAACCAGACTCGAAGATTTTTTAATTACAGGAATTTGAGATTTTGTTTAATCGTGCCTCTAAATTGTATCCAATCTCGGAAATAGTAGATAGTTAATTTATAATGGATGTGAAATAGTAAAATTTGCGGGTATATTATTGTATAGATTCCTTTTTAATTGGACGGTTTAGAGGGATGCCAGAATCCAAGTATTATAATCTGCAATATATGTTCGTAGATATTGAAAAATCACATGTCGATACTACTGTGAAAAAACATTTTTGCAATTTTTTTTTAAATAAGTATAGATTGCATATGAGTTTCCCACGATCAAAAGACAAACTGCTCAACTTCAGTCTCCGTAAATTTTTCCATTTCATTATCTACGTACGTAATTAGTGTTTAATTTCTCGAAGACCAAATAATTTAATTTCTTATATCCATTTATCTCATTCTATCTTGCATCCATAAAAGTGAGTGGCGTAATATACCTAATCGTAAATTTAAAGATAAAAGATATATAGTTCTAACGCCATCATTTTCAACTACTTTTCAATTTATGGAATTGTTGGATGGTTAGTACATTTTTCCCAATATTTATCTAATTTTTCCAAAATGTGTATTTGTACTGTATCTTCGTTCAGCTCTTCGATTGATTTCTTTGGACTATAAGCACATAGATATACCTAGAAGAAGAACAAGCTCTCATAAATTGTAGAATTGCTACCAACAGTAGATTCGATAAAGAAGCAAAGGAGATTACGATTGAATGTATCGTGTTGTTTTATAATGCGAGAACTATAGGCTCTACGAGAATGGAAAAGCAAAAATGCACGCGACGAAGGAGTACAGGAAACAAGGAGGAGACTGAGGCTTGATACACCGGGATTAGCTCTGGCTCCTTAATGAGCGTTAATGGCACGTGATTTCTTAATCACCTTAACGATCACCATGCGCATAACTCGTCGCCGTGAACAGTGGGGATCAATAAAAACCAATTTATCCGATATACTCAGCGCGTTGTACCGATTCATCTGACATTATTTTATTTTTCGCCTTTTACCTTCCGTGACACAGCAACCATTTCTTTTTTCACGAGTAATTATTACTATGTACATTTTTGCAACACTATAATTTTTCTTGTATATCACGATAAGCAATATATTCGTATCTCTGATCTGTTCGTACTGAAAATGAGATTGCCGATTTGTAATAATTTTTATGTCAACTCCCTCGCGATTTTGGATAGCTGAGATATTTCGTTATCGTAATGTCGTTTATGCAAGGCTATACAATGCATAAATAAAATATTATGGACAAAATATTTCACGTGATTTTATTAACACGCGAAATGTCTTGTTAGAAAATTTAAAATAAACAATCTATTGCGTTAGTTGATCGCGTCATGATTATAATTAACGATTGTATTCAAGTCAAATTCTGTACACACACGCAGAGGTAATCGAAGAATCATAACATCGAATTTGACACGACTCCGGCAAGGAACAACGGAAAATCCAAACAAACGACCACTATATCGTGCGCATTTTCGTGCCTACCGTCTGGATGATAACATCGCGTTGTTGCGCGTCGAAATTTCGGGAATCTTAATCGCGTAGTACATAACTTTATCTCGTTGCATAATTTCGCCTAGTCCATTCGTTATTTCGTTCAAATCGCGTGTGTATTGGTAGTGATTCTGTTAATCGCGAATATTAAAAGACTAACTAGAAATCATGATCTTTCTAAGATGGACCAAATTGCCTTCAACTATTATTTTCACGTCGATTTCGAAGCAATGGCCACAATTACATACGATGACTTCCTACATTCGTCATACTGGTAAGCGAGATGTAACTTTATTAAACACAATACACTTTTATTTCTATCTTTAGCAAATTATTTATTATTTCGTAGATATCGGCTATCTTTGATATTCTTCCTGTGTTTTATTTACATACATACGTATCTCGAGTGACCAAGATTGTTTGAAAACTGCGTGCACTTTGAGCTCTCGGTCTCACTTTTTTCCAATTTAAAAGAAACTGCTCGTTTTGCGTTGAAGCATTTAATTGCTCCATGCATCCGGCATCCATCTTTTTCTTTTTTCATTTGTCTTGCTTCATGTTATTTAATATGTGCGAAACGTCGTCTACCCGTTTAATTTCGTATTGAATATTCATATGGGCACGGTCACACCGTTTCCAGGTATGTAATAAGCACTACCATTTCCATGTAAATTCGTCTCGGTTATTGTGTCATCTCGAAAGCGAAAACATGATGCAACAAGCGTTCCCGGCCGATTGTTAGATTATGTCAAGTTCTCGTTTTGTCGCGTTTATTTGATTTACCAAGGACGCGTGCGTCTTTCTGCCACGTGGCTTCAACCCCTTGCGAGACAAACGATCCGTTGGGCGGAGTTCTGCGTTCATTTCCTTTCGACCTTTGTGCCTCTGCGCTATGCAACTTCGCCAGCTGGATGTCCAGAAGGCGACGCAACAGTTCGACGTTTAAAGCCGTTATGTTATAGTACACTAACGGCGGCGTTATGCTCTCTTTGTAAACGATTTGACAATGCTTGATATTTGATAATCCCGATCGACTATCGTTTGTTTCAGGCGTTATGAAATAGTTCGGATTAAATTTAATCGAAATTATTAAGGAAAAAATGATAGAGTATTCTCGATCATCGAGTATTATCGACGTATTATCGATTTGATATTATCGACTATGTAAAAATGTATGTAATGTAAAAAATACTTGTACACTTTAAAAAAAAGTAGTTAAATTTGTTATTCAGGAAATTGTAGGATCTAAGTAAGAAAAGAAATAATATAAGGAATCGCGATTCTTTTTTTATATCTACGGTATTAATATACAGATTAATGTTAATTATCTAATAAAAAAAATTGCGAAAGAAATATCACATTAACGTAACGTCGGTCCTTGATGAATCAATGTACGTCAAATTCAAGAAATAGACATTATAATTTCTTCTTTATGAATTATTACTAATGTATTGGAAGTAATATTTATACAAGGTGTTGCAGAATATGTAGCAGCTAATCGTTTAAGAAAGAAGTTTATGCAATATCCTCATTTGTAAATTAAAACGTGAGCATAGAGCGTTTAACACGTGGAAGAAAGATGTATGAGAAATTTGAAGACGATCACCTCATTACAAATTAATGTTATACGTTAACGAAGAAAGACTAACACTCGACTATAAATTCTTTTCTTGTATAAATAACAGAGTGAAGCAATTAGCGGTTCTTTTATGGACGAAATCTAACGATCCCATAATAGAATCATCTAATAAATAATTCTCAACCACATATCCATTAATATATTCTAATGAAATTTCAATAATCAATTACGCGTGTTCCCATAATCTCGAAGGTTCTGTATCATCGCAAAAGCAACACTGTCGCTTTCATTTGGTTCATAAACATCGTTTTCTCGAGCTGCGGCCTTCAAGGCCGAACTCATTGGTTTTCATCCACATAAGAGAATTATGAGATTAACGCGAACGAGGTTCGTCGAGAGAAAGATGGCAGGGGCAGCCAGAAGGTTAGGGTTGCCCGACAATGTCGCGCAAACGAGCGAGCCACCCTATGCGCGAGCCCGCCACGCCCTTCTTGCTGCGTGGAATCGCAAATTGGCACCCCAACCTGACCACCTCTTGCTTCGACCACCTCTAACTTTCCTCCCCTAGCTTTTCCTCTTTTTCTGCCCGTCGTTACCCTTCCTGGTTCTCCCTTGTAGACTTTCGGTCATCGAATTCGAACTTTGATCACGATTAATTTCACACATTGGTGCTGTTCGTGTGTCTTCGGTCGGAAATTTTATCTCATACGCGATATTGCGACTTTTTTATGAATCAGCATGAGGTATTTAAATTTCCAAGTTTCTAAATTTTATACAGACCATATTCGATATTTAGATTTGTTAATTTCTTAATTTCATATTACGTTAAATTTCGAAATTTCTTCACCTTATTGCTGAATTTCTGTATCGTGATAAGCAAGTTGAAGTGGCAGAAGTTATTTAAAGTTCATAGTTCAGCCACATCCCCTTCGTAATAAAATCCACAGGACAAAGAATGGAGCGGGTTTAGATTTCTAAATATCTCAGTTTCGTATCACAAATTTGCTAGAAACTATTCTAAATCTGTATATCGCACTAATAAGGGGGAATTTGTCAAAGTTCATAGTTCAACCGCAACCCTTTTGTAATGGAATCGCCGAGAACAAAGATTGAAACGAAGGACACATTTATCAGTAGCTTGTCACCGAGGTTGTTACGATGTTACATTGTCCCAAAGACAATCTAGCGAAAGAGAATGGTCTAACAGCGATGATCCACGGTTAGATAGAAGCGACGTATGGTGGTGGAAGGAAGGGACGAAGTAATAGAATTAGTTCGACCAGACGAGGAGACCTCCTCACTTAGCTCGCTATAATACGAGGCAAGTTCCGTCACGAAGACCTTAATATCCGCCACTTCCTCCGCCTCCCACTCGTTCGTTTGTTTATTCGATATCGTCCGCCGTCTTAGCAAGTCGTGGCTTGTTCTTCCTGACCCCTGCACGATACTAATTCCTTTTCCTACTCCGTTATATCCTCTATCAACGAGTATTACACGTGTCTATACTTGTATCACGTTTATCATCGATGTTATTATCTCTTTCCTTTACCTTCGATGTCACTTGATCGACTGAATTACAATCTTAAACGATAACAACTATACGAGGCCGAACAGTTTATCTATCTGAGAAGCACATAGAGATAAGTTTAGTCATTTAAGGTGGCTGAAAAAAGTCAGGATTTGTATACTAGTAAACTTTAGAATATTAAAAATAAATTTGAGAACTATTTTTTCAATTATTATTAATAGTGACACGTGGAATAGTTTATAGTTGTCGCAGTAAATATTACGATTACTTTAGAAATATTGCGAAAATAATCAAACTTTGGAACGTCTAATTTCAAGGTACTATGGATCAATATGTGGAGGATAGTTAGTACGTGAGGTTTAAAGGACGAGATTGCTCGTTGTTGAAACAGTCGAATATATTTAAAATAATAAATTAATATACAGCCGTATACGCGAGTCATTAGTACAAAGTATAAATTGCAGAAGAAAATCGCGGAATAAATATTCGTTAATGCACGTCGCGTAACTCGATAAATACTCGTGGGATACTCGGAGATGCTCTGTTAGATACTCGATATGTATAATACTATCCGTTCGCGATCACGTCCGTTTATTTATACTGGTCGGGGAGAAGTGTGAAAATTTGAATTCGTTTGAAAATTTTATTCGACGGTTGCATGTAGCGCCGACATTGTTTTGCCCGGATTTTGTTTATCATTGTATTTCTGCGTCAAAGCTGAGTCAATGTTCCGAGGCAAAACAACAGCATGAGTCGCTCTCGACTCGCGTCGTCCTTTGACTCCTATGCCGCTGCAAATAAATTATCTTTCTGAATTTCGATCCATCCTCTGGAGTTATCGAATTTTTTATTAAATTTTAGATTACTACGAGGTAACTATATTCTTCCCTTTTACTTTCATTTTTTCTTTTTTTTTTACAAATGACTGAATTACTTCTGATATGAATTTCATTTATACTTCGCTCGACCAGAGAAATTCGACACGATTAAAATGCTAATTATCCGAAATCGAGCAATCTAGTTAGCTAGGGTGGCGCGATCTGTGGCCACGATAAGAGGGAAACTACACGAAGTCCGCGCGTTCCTCTCGCTCACCTACGTTCCGTAGAAACCAAGATGATCGTGATGCGCGATACTTAAGTTCTCGAGCACTTTAATAGTTTAATTTTCTGCTCGCCTCCTGTTTGTTCTCCATTCTAGATTCGGATCTCATCTTCGAGAATGCAATTAAAGAGGTGGAAGAAGAGAAGGGAGGCGGCTGGTAGGCCTTGAGTAATAGAATAAGGGGATGTTGAGGGAAGTTGAATTAAACGAGCTGGTTTATACAAAGGCTTGCTTCGACCGTGTTTGTCTAGAACACGATCTTCAACGCGAATTTGATTAGACGGAAGCAGTTGTTAACGATTGACGTGTATCATCTCTCCCCCTCTCGTTCTTCTCTTCGTTAGTTTAACGAACTTCGATGGCGAATAAAATTGTAATTAATCGTATTACTTTTACCGCGTTATCGCTCTATATATCCATAGAAAGGTCTAATCTCGTAGGGTCGGTTAGTTGTCGTTAATTGTGCGCTGCTATTTGTCGAATGTAAATCCGATCCGTGAAATGTGTCGCTATAAATTCATTTTATCGTGTAGATGATAAAGCGAGATACTAGGACAGAATCGAAAGGCTGGCAAAGTGGTTAACATAATGTGATAACGTGGCATACATGCAATGAACTCGTTAGACCTGATATAGGTACAGGTTAGTTCAGAATCTACGGTGTGCACCGATTGAATCTCTCGAAAATGAACCCAGCCGATCGAAACCAATCTACTGTAAATGCGTCGAGAATAAACAGATTTTCACAAGAGGACTATTATCTTTGGCGTAAGTGCACAATTTTCGAGGAAAGAATGAGCCGATGAATTCTGAAATTCCAACGATCATGCTGAATAAAACAGCACGTAGTGGTAACTGGAAAAACGAAAAGAGGCAAACATCCACTCGACATAATCTTTTCGAAGGTACACCACAATGAATACCGGCGCCTTCCAGTCGAAGGCCCACAGTCGAGATCCATCGACCATTGTGTCCATTATAGGTTTTTGTCCCCCGTTTGCGAGGTTTCCCTGTGCGTCTTCTGAGACTTTATGCCGCTGCATTGTCGTGCCACGGTGGCCTATCTCTCTCCTTCTTCCTTTTCCTCGCGCTTTCTCCTCTCTTCTTTTCCTCCTTCTCTCCTCCCTTTGCTTCCCTTTTTTTTCGCTCTCTGTCTACCTTTTCACCGAGTATAAGTTTACGTTTGGAAACCGCGGCAGAGGCGCGCACACCGCATTCATCGAGACATCGGTACACCTTTTTCTGCCGGTGGTCCCGCACGGACGAGCAAGCGTAGTCGCGCGTAGCAAACGACTGAGTGCCTGCGGAACATGGCCGCTTTTGTCGGGAAGAATGGCCTTTGTCTCGAGGAAAATCAATATCCAGATAAGCGTACGATTTAATCATCGAATAGCTAATTGGCTAATAAGCTTCGTCACGATTATTACGATCAGCCGAACGGATTATAACAGACGTCAGATCGATTCGCTCTTTCTGCAGATGGTGGACGAGTTTTGGCTTGCGACTGCTCGGACGACAGCGTCGCGAATGTAATCATTTTTCGCTTATTTCGAGTTCAAGTTTTGAGCTTTGGATGATCATAAATATCAGAGAAAGAAACGCGAGCATCCTTGTTTTTATTGTTAATTTTGATACGTTTCTTGGGTTATTCACGATTATTTTCTCTTTAAATTCTTACGTTTGGTGTAGATATAGCTGAGAATCACAGTGACGTATAAGTGAATATGTTAGAAATTAGAAGTAAGTTACGCGTAATCACAATCCTCGAAAGAATTATTCGTTTAATTTGATAGTCGACCAAATTGTAATTTAATTTTATATTGCGACATATTTTTTTTAATTTTAAAGAATATGTATCGAGGCCTTTTAAAATAATGAAAGTAAAACATTTTTCTAGAAAAGTAGTAGCATGACTCACACGAGTTATTGATTACGATTATCAGCTCGCTATATGATATAACAGTTGTAGATAAAGTTTTTCGAAAAATCCAAGACCTGCAGTAACGTTAAGGTATAGAATACATTTGATGAAATGGAATAATACTTACACGTTTATCGGATAATTCCATCAAGAATATTGTCAGGATATTATTCGAGAGAGAGATTTTTTTTTTATCATGAAACTTGTTATTCTGTGAATTTTCCAGGTCTTCGAAGACACCGTGTAGACGCACCGAAGACACGGAATAGTCGGTGGCTTCGCTTTAAGCGAGATAGGAGTACAGTTATCCATAAAAGTAGAGCATGCGTACGCCGCCTTTAAAACGGCAGGTGGTGTCCGCTACCGGTGAACAAAGAGAAAAGGGAAAGAAACAGGAACTCGAACCTACCGTCAGGACATTGGAATCCTCCGTTCTGCAGTTGCAGTTCCTCAGAAACCATCGAATAATCGCTCCATTTACTATCTAATACGACAATTTGTGGAACATCTTTGAACGACCTCCATTTTATTGCATCTTCATCGTATTCTCGAAAACTCGAGAAATCACGAACAAGGGTAGCAGAGTAAGTACGTATATAAGTCGATGCGATTTAAATTGAATTAATTAGTTATTATTCATATTTTATACAATAGTAATCATAATTAAGGTATTTTAGTCCTCGTAGTATCTATATTCGTACAAGGGTACTCGATAAAATTGATGAATTGGGGTCTGCCGTGTTTTTATTAACCTATATGTATATAGACGATTTCTGGCTTTCTATCTCTCTCTCTCTCTCTCTCTCTCTCTCTCTTTCTTTCTCTCACAGACACTCTCTCTCGCGTTCTCTCGTATCTTTACACATCTTATCACAATATCGTATTATACACAGATTTTTTTCACTTGTTTTACGGCTTACGTGCTAACAGGGGTGGGCCCCGGTGCAATATTTACACGCACCAGAAGGGATCGATCATTTATAAATCTGTTTCACGCCGCTCGATTCGATCCCCGCTTACTTGCACCGGGACTAGTAACGCTAGTAAATTCTACGGACTCCTCTCTTCTCGTTTTCTTCGTCTCCAATATATATTTATCATTTTCTTCTCCGTTATTCCGTATGATGTTCGTCATTCCATTATATTTCTTCTCATCTCGCGCGCCTCTCTTCGTTTTCCATCGCGTTAAAGTCCGTTTCGCTCGTCCTCGGCCAACGTTCTATTATCCCGCGAACTCGACGAAAGCGTGACAAAGCTAAACTGCAACACGTTACGCTCTTGCAAGTGACCGACACACTGTCACAGGGCGCTTCCCTCTTCAACGTTCTTTTTCTCTTCCTTTTCTTCTTTTTTTTTTTATTTTATTTTCTTCTTCCTTTTACCTTCTCTTTCTTTTTCTTGCCGGGATCTTGGGACGAAAAATACGCGTGGAAAAAAATTGGAATAACGGGTTACAGGATGTGTCTTTTAACGCGTTTGCGAGAATCGCCGGGCAAAACACTTTCGTCCAGTTCGCCGCGCGAATCGAATCGTTTTACGCTGTTTTTTCGCAATTCACTCGCTCTACACGCAATTTAGGAACTGAGGGAGCTTCGTCTTAAATTATACACGCACACGCCTCCTTATTGCACCGAATCTAAACGCAAGAACCGCTGTTCCGTCGCCGTTCCGCGCCTCGCAGCCTCTGCGGTCGAAATCTAACGGCACTTATTAGTACATATACACGGAGGGAATCGTTGTTCGTCATCTCTCGTCATCATCGCGCTGAATCCGGAGCCGTGATATCGCGTCCAGATTGTCGAACGACAACGACGAACACGACGAGTAAAGCCGCGACGATGGGAAAAATTTCGACCAGGATAGAAGATACAAGGGGAGAGAAAACACGTCGACGCAGATCTTGCTCGTCGTCGGTCGTTTCCCTTCTCTGCTCGTTCGCTAGCTTCAGGCTACTTCTTTCTCGCGGATTTCGAGGTAACACGCGATGGCTCCAGATGTCCAGCGGCGTGAAACTGGCTTTGTACTCTGTTCCCATGTCGAGAGTTTCACGATGGGAAAGCTCGAGCGCGCTCGAGGAAATATTCTAACGGAGATCGCCGGGGAAACACGAAACACGTAACTCCGTCGGAACAAGCTCGAGACTTGTTTGTCGTTTACGTTTGTCGATCGAAAGATGAATTTTTCTTTAAACCGAAATAGGATTTGTGGATATCAATCATAAAAAGAAAACCTTCGCAGTAGAATTTGGATTCGTCGATCACAGAAAATGAGTCGTTTGAATTGAATTTGTATGTATCGATTACCAAAAAGATATCATTGACACAGAATTTGGATATATTGAACGCAAAAAATAGGTTGTTTAAATAATAATCACAAAAAGCGAACCATTGAATAGGATTTGGAATATCGACGATAAAAAGAGATCTATCGATTTGAAATGTAAAACGATTCAATTTAAATGTAAAAGGAAATGTAATAATATAATTTCAAGACTAAAATAGATGTCGTAGTTGAGATTGGACATCCGAGAAAGTCGAGGAGATTTTTTCGACGTAGTTTTGTTAAAGTTTCGCGATTCCTCGAGTTCGTTCTCGGCCAGAACGGTGGCATCTCCGGAGGCGAAAAAGAAGGCAGAATGAGGAAGTAAAGGGACCGTACGAGACCGCGTTCTCATGAGACGACCATTGTGTTACACCGACACGCCGGAGGATTTGGGTCAGCGGTGGGGCTCACCGACCCTCCCAGTTTCCCCTAGTCGCAAACCGCAAACGTTCGTTCTCTTTTCCTGCGGTTTCGTGGCGTCTCTTTGAAAGCTAGCTATATCGTTGGCCGGTGATGGCAAAGATGGCAAAAGGGTGGAGATCTTCAGCATGGCCGACGGGAAACGGTAAAAACAGCGTAAAACCCTTTTCGTTTTCTCGATGCATCCTCTAGGTATGAGATTGAAGGTTGTTCGATGAAGAATTACGAACAGAGAGGGCGGCAGGATTTATTCCCGAAAGAAATCGAATCTTTCGAACGAACTATATGCGGGTCAGAGGAGAGAAAGATTTCACGAGATCGCGGAGACTGTCTCCGCGACAGATGTTTCCGCTTGATGTTCCATCGAGCCACGATGGACCCGAGACCGTGCTTTCACGAATGTTTCGTTTTTTCTTTTTCCCCTTTTTTTCACGAATTTAATGAACGCGCACTTGTCAGAACTGTCCGTCGCGTCGTCGACCGAGATAATGATTTTTTCCACTGACTGTGCACGGCCTCGGGTTTCGTGGTAAATCGCGCGTATCTCTTCGTGTCCTCCGCTCCTTTTCGGAGGAGGGTCCACCGCGTTCGGTTGCTTCATCCGGAAAGGAGGGACCGGTGATTACAGCGCGCCACCGTGATTGCCGAGATCGTTTGACTCACGAAAATGTCATTAGGATTTCATTACTTCCAACCGCCTTGAGGAACGACTGTTTCTCGACGACGAGTTTGTGCAATATTTCTTTCTTTCTCTCTCTATCTCCATAAACCGTCTTTCTCCATCTTTCGCCCGTCTCGTCTCTGTCCGTCCTTCTTTCTGTCCCCTTTCGCGGTTACCCTTTCTGCTTCTCCGCCTTTCTGTTCTCTTCTCGCTCTGTTGCCGTTTGATCCGACGAGATCCAGCTTCCAGAGCACGAAGTGGGTCAGCCGCCTCGGTTGGGCAACTGTCACAAAGGATCGACCGATCTAACGTCATCTAACAAACAGATTGACATTTACGAAGGAAACCGAGGAATCGTTGTGAATCGTTTAGAACGCGAAACATCGTGTCTCCTCCTTCAGGTGGCGAAAACATCCTTGGTCCGCGAGAACCATCCGATGGATAATTTGCCAACAGCTCGACCAAGAGCCGACCGCTATCTTGACATTTAACGAAGCGGCGGAAACTGTTCCTCGTCACTTTGTTAATCGTTTCACGATCATTGAAATTCTATCGATAATTCAGTCACTGTTAGATCGATCGATCGTCAGCTGGTTTTGCCTGGTTCCGTGCGTTCGACGACGAAGAGCGATCGGTAAGCTCGCGAGGCGAACGCGGACGATCTGCCGTCGATCTCCGATCAAGGAGATTCTATTACATCTATTCGATGATTCGTACGTCGTCGTTATCTGTCGTGCGATTTTTCGGCCGTCCTTTTTCCCTCCTCTTCGATGATTTCATTTACAGGTAAAGCATGAATGATCGTTCATCGTCGTCGATAGACGTTTCATATAAATTCCATCGACGTGAACATCGAGTCGTGCATCATTTGCGAATCGCTATTCGCGATGCATAATCGTACGTGAATTCGATTCTCTACCGAACGTTTTCGTTTCACGAAAAGTTCGTTCATTCTCGTCGATGCAGGACAACTGCGTTCTTCCAACTTACTATCATCGCGATTGGTTCCCTATAGATCGTACGATCGCGACGCTTTGATTTTTCGTCGTAACGACGGACGACCAATTTGTCGTTGACCGATCGGTGAACACGCGGCTCTCGTTAAGAGATAGAAACAATTTATTAACATCGAACGCGAAGTCCATCGCGACAGGTGCTATACGTATTCACACTTTGGGGCAGGGGCGCTGGCACGTCCGCGGTGCTACGAAGAAGCGGTTCCTCCTGAACACAGCTCGAAGGACATCTTCGTTAAACCGCCGGCCACACCCTGAAAAAATACGACAGACGAACGAGCCATTAGAACCCAGCCCTTCGTGCCACCCTACGTGGAAATAGAGGGGGAAGAATGTTTCCCGTACACGATTTCTTTGGGTCATTCGATCGAGAATATCGATAGATCAGGGAACACGATTTAATCGTTGTATCTTCTATCTGGGAGTAGATGTTGGAATTATTGCTAAATTCTCTTCATCCGGGCGTACATGTTGGAATTATAGATAAATTCTCTTGATAAGAATGTCCTTTATTTTAATTTGTATAATGCAATGCAAGGAACCGATGTGTCGTTGATATTTAAAGTTTCTACGTGTATATATATTTACGTCGGTAAATGTTACGTTCCTTTTAACTTCGTAACGCTGTAACTATATATTGAACAATGAAAGTTAGTTCAAATAATAACGATTACATGGAACAAGTTCAGTCGGGTTAGATTATTTCGGAAAAATTATTAGAAAACATAAATAACGAGTTATTTCATCAATATTTAAAATAGTCGAGAATTTAGAAATAGTTGAAACAATAATTAACGAAGAAGCATTGCAGGATTAAAGTTGCAACGGATTTTATTTACGAAAATCTTTACCCGAAAGGAATGTCACAATGAATTATGAAGGATTAATGGAACGCGTTTCCGTTAGAAACAACGGTAATATTCACCTAAATCTCCTTACTATAAATCTTCTATATATATTAATCCATAAATTAATCCATAAATTAAATAATATCTACAAGAAAGAAACTCCTAAGTCCTCATAACTCGATCCACTAAAATTTCAAATTATCCAACTTCGTCTATTATACCGTGCATTAATATCTTTCATACCCTAAATTCAGCGTTCCCATTAAAGCAACCGATCAAAATGAAATTTCATTAGCATTGTAATGAAACACTACTGTCATGATTAAATTGATCAAATTTTAGACCAATCTGAAACATGATACACTAGTATACAAATTAAAAATACAGCATGAATAGACATCTTAAGCTTCGAATAAGTATTAAACACAGTCTCACTGAATATTGAGGTTTATTTATTATAATAAAAAATTTGCTGTTCGAATACTTTCGTGATCTCTGTGGAATATAATAGTTGTACCGAATATTAGATTGTTGCAAACGTTTCTTTCGTTTCTTAAGGACGTAATAGATGCGCAACAGTTTTAGTTTTATATTATTTTATTGAATTATATATGATCCATTTTGTTCTATTGGAATAATACTATTGGATCATACATAGTTCGATAAAATAACAAAAATAATAAAACAAAAAATGCGCATCTACTATTTCCTTGCGAGAGGAAAGAAGCTTTTGGGATAAGCCAATATCATATAATTGTTGCATATACATATTTTCGTATTAGTTTAAAACTTTACCAACATAATCACAGTAGTCGAGTCTCACAACAGTGCCGATGCAATTTCAAAATGTTTCCTACGGCACACGGTACACATCCATAAAAGATCTCTACAAATGTTGAAATACTTTCGTGAGCCTGTGTATATTATAGCACTCGTGAAATATCGTCCTGTGGACACGGTGTATCGTGATCGGTTAGTCGAACAGAGTCGTCCAATGAATGCTAGAAGTACCACTTACGTGAGTAGTCCGGGATTAGGATCCGCTTGGTACCAGGAGTACTGTGGCATGTAACCCGCGTGGTGCGGCGGCGGCGGTGGCGGCGGTGGATGGTGGCCAGGCGTATGGGGGTGATGGTGAGTGTGCGGTGGCGCGTGCGGATGCGGATGGTGCTTC